ACAGTAATAGCAAGCAGTCCAGGCCCCTGGAGAGATGGGGGCACTGGGGAAGACCCAGTGCATTTTCGCTCTTCATTTTTTATTTTCAGTTGTAGTAATATTTTGGAAGGTATTGCTTACAAGATAAAATTTGCATTTATTTGAGCTACTTACAAATAGGATTCACTGCAAAGCTATCATTAAAGGGAAATAAAGCAGAAGAACAAAAAATGCATTCTCAGCAAAGTTTGATACGTAGTCGCTTTCAGAGAACCTTGGTGCTACAGGAAAAATGTCATCATCTCGCTCTAACACACCCTCTCTCCCAAAATGCTGAAAAACAAGCAAATACAGGGTTGTTTGTGATTTACTGAGGTGCAGATACCAACCAACTATATTGTCGACTAATTCCAGTGTTTCTGCCTTGGAAGTAATTTAGCTTTTTCCTACGTGATCATTCCTATCTTGAAACAGTTTCATTGAATGCAAAACCCAGTGCCTGTTTATCTGTGACTGACTTTCAAGGAGAGGGTGCTCTGTGTGTGTTATATGTAGCTGGTAGAAACTGTAGGAGTCACTTCAAGTTTCTCTGTATGTTGCTCTTGTTCTTTTTTTAACCAATGTGGTTTCTTTTCCACTTTTTTTTTTTCTGCATTTTTGTGTGGTGACATACAACTTCATAACCGTTTTAGAGAAAGGCTTATAGGACAGAGTAAGGTTCTGGTTGCTCAGTGTGATCAGTCTCATTCATCTTGCTCTTTTCTTGCAGAAGTGCCCCTCAGCATGAGTTGACATCCACAAAGCGCTCTGCAGTGCTGTAGCCTGGGTTCTGGTAGTAATGATGCTCTCTCCAGCTGAAGTTCTGTACAGTGTGTGGGGCTGATGCAGTTTTTGGTGCTCCCCCAGTTCCAGTTGAGAGGCTAAGGCATATGGCCCTTGTAGTCTTCTTGTAATGAAATTAATTTCTTCTTATGAACCCAATTGGCTCTCTTAGTTAATGATAGAGAAAGATGCCTGTAGAGTTGCTTGGCCTTGCCTGCTAAGTCCTTGAAGATTATGGCCAGGCTTTTTGATAGAGAGTTCTTTAGCATTCACTTCTCATGACTGAATGATTTTAGCTGTAGAAAACACTGGTACTGGTGATTGATCCAGTGACTACCAAATAGGGATCTAGGATTAAAATATAAGAAAGTAGATTTTTCCAAGCACTCTGCAGCTTCCCACTTACACTCCTACCTGGCTCCTAGGTCAGCTTTGTGCATGTTTCTGAAAATTTTTCTTGACATCTGTGAAGATGCTGTGTCCTTACTTCTGAAAATCGGGGGCACTGCTGGACAAAGCAGGAGTGATCCCCAAGCTGTCAGATTTCTCTCTCACTTCCATTGTCTTACAGCTGCTACATTTAAAACTATCTGCTGATTGGTGCCATGTGATTCAAGGTAACTTGAAATGTGGTTGGAAAAAAGAGTAGATAAGACGAGTGGAGCTGGAGAATTGCATGAAGGAGCTGAGAGTATGTTGTAGAAGAATGTAGGAGATCAGGCAAGTGTTTTTACTGAGTACATGTGCATGTAGGGAGCAGGGAGCTATCTTCAGTAGTCTTCATTTGTTCAGGATTTCTGCTGTTATATTTTGGCAGTCTTACATCGTTAGTCTAATCCCAATGTTCAAAATATTCATATAGGATTACCGTGCCTCTGAGACTGGAACCTTCAACAAGTGAGACACAGGAGCACACCTCCTCCTGCAGTTACAGTCAGTGCCTTAGTGTAGAAAAATTTGGAAAAGTGGAATTCTTACTGCTAGTGGTTGCAGTTTTCTTTGTGCACCAACTACTCATGTACCAAGAAAAAGCTTGTCTACACCAAAGCACAGGGCTACTTACTATTCTCATAATCCATTTCCTTTTACAAACAGCAGTGACTGATCTGAATAAATCAGAAGGGGACATTTACATCATATGTAGCCTCTTTTCTATGAACTTCATTAAGCCTTGGACCATTAGCTCAAGATATGTGATTATTTTGTTTGTTCAAACAGCTAGACGAGCCGAGTCTCCTCTGAGTGTTTCTTTCAAGCAAACCAGCATGACTGAAAACTGGGAGCTTGCCAGAAAATGTTACGTGAAATAGTAGTGGCAGGTTCATCTTAGTGTGGGTGGAGAGAAAACTGTACCCTCTATCTTACTACTTCAAACGTGCAGTGCCCATATGCCACAGATGAGCTGGTTTATGGATGGAGCATGAAGGCTAGTACTTGATCTGTTTCATGCAAACAGTGTGTGTGCTGTAGATATACTGTCTTGTGGATATGATTATCAGCTGTTGATGCAGTCTAAACACACAGCATCAATATTTAGTATGCTATAGACTTATCTCATTTTTCTCCTTTATATTTAGTGTTAGTATACAGAGCCAAATACTAAAAAAAAAAAAAAAAAAAGGCAGAGGGGGTCACATGATTAAATTAATTCCATTAATTATTTAGAAACAATCAAAGGAAATACAAGACATCTGGCTTTAAGCCCAAACAACTCATGGCACTGCTGTTGCCTTGTAACCTCATCAGCTCTTAGTCCAGTCATCTCTCTTCTTCTTTCATTAAGGACACAGGAGATGGCCCCCCTTCTTTCCTGCCTTATTTCTGGCAGCTTGGAACACAGATCACAAGACTGGGCTATACAGTTGTCTGATTCTGTGTATTAAATCTGATTAGTTTTATGATTAAAAGACATCCTCCTGCATCCCCATGGTATACAATAGTGTTGCAGCCATAGGTTGTGTTTTTCTCAGCTTAAGGAGCTAGCTAGAAGGAAAATACTGTTGTTATTGCAGTGCTCAAAGTCCTTAAACATGTGTGTTATATTGTGCAGCATATAGTGAGAGATGGTTCCTGTCCTGAAGGGTGCACAGCCAAGAGTAGAAAGGAATTGTCCCACTCTCCACTGTGTAGCCTCACCTGGAGCACTGTTGCAGGCTTAGTGCCATAACATCAAGACATAAAACTACTAGAGAGTGTCCAAAGGAGGGCTACAAAGATGGAGAAAGGTCTGGAGGGCAAGTGGTGTGCTCAGCCCAGAGCAGAGGAGCTCAAGGGAGCCTGATGGCGGCTGCGGCTCCTCACAAGGAGCGGAGGGGCAGCGCTGAGCTCTGCTCTGTGTGACAGCGACAGGGAACGGCATGGAGCTGTCAGGGGAAGGCAGCTGGGGGTGAGGGACAGGGTCTGCACCACAGGGTGCTGGGCATGGAACAGCCTGCCCAGGGCTGTGGGCACGGCGCTGAGCTGTGAGAGTTCAAGGAGCGTTTGGCCGTTGTTACCAGACACAGGGTTTGAATTTTGCGTGGTGCTGTGTGGGGTCAGGAATTGTACTCAGTGATCCTCGTAGGTCCCTTCCAACTCAGGATATCTTGTGATTCCGTAACAGAAAGGCTGGAGAAGAAATAGTATCACAAGGAATGGAAGATTGTGTAAGAAGACTGTGGCGGAACCAGAAATAGAGGCTGGGACTTACCCAGTCCACTGGTCTTGGCGTACTTCTTTCCCTGGCTGAGGGCAGTGGTCCTGCCCTTTGTAGACGTGGCCAGGCATTTTCCATTTGAATAATTTTTCAGCAGAAATTCTTTTTCTTGAAATACAAAATTTCCTTGGGAATAACTGTTTTACCCGAGAAAAGTCAAAACAAGTATGTCCCAGCTGCTCATTCTGGAAGGCTCTTTTTCTCTGTTTTCTAGCTAGTCTACAGAAAATGTTACTTGAGATATCTCAGGTGGATTTTTCTAGAACCACTTTCTCATGGGGAAAGAAGATCCACTTTTATTTTCACTTCCCAGCTGAGGAGTTTTTGCTCCCGCCCGTAGTGATTACATCCCCATGATAAGAAAGTGCTGTTTTCTGTTCACATCTGATCCTGTGTTTTATCAGTACAGGTAACTTAATGCAATTTAATCATGCAATTCTCACGTTCTGTAGCTAACTTAGTATATTCAACTTCCTAGAACAGTTTTACTGGAGCAAAACAAAGGATCTCGCTGATAGTTAGGATTCTGCTTTTCTGCATACTGGTGAATGTGAACCCATTTTGATTCATAGCAAATGTGTTGAAGACACTCTCATTACATTTACTGTTAGCTGGGGGGTACTGACTTCTTGCATTAATCCAAGGAGCATGCTTTCACTGGCTGCTGTTCTCTTAAGAGTTGCATTGAAGAACTCTTTTTTTTTTTTTTAATGAAAAGACATTGAAAATTCTATCACTGTAAGGTTATCTTGGCAGTCTTTTACTTACTCTTTAGTACTGTTTTGAAGATGCACATGCCCAGTTATCCATTAAAAAAGTTCTCCTGAAATGAAACAAGCTTCCTTGGTTCTGAAAAGCTTACTTGAGACTGCTGCTCCTTATCGCTTGTGCTATTCCATAGCCTACACTTGTCCTCAGAGAATGATGGCATCAGATGAACATATTGGCTGTGATTTTTCAAAGTATGCAGTTAACCACATTTGATTCCCACTGCATTTGATGCATGTTAACACTACCTTCAACAAAGGCAGTGTTAGGCCCATGTAGAAAGCTTTAAAAAAACAAAAAACAAACACCACCTCTAGCACCCTGGGCTATTTGCAGGCAAGAACATATGTTGTAAGTGCTCATACTGCGTTACAGGGTTTTTGAAGGGACTTAACCTGCTCTATGAGTAATAGCGTAGTGCATTTGATGCTACAATAGGTATGTTTCTCTGATGTTGTCCCTTCAGGTTTATCATGTTTTCAAAATATTGTATCCTCTGAAGCTGATTTTAGAGACATATTCTCCATATCCAATAACTCGCAGCTGAAGCTATTCCAAGGTTTAATGTATTTGTTTATTTCCTCATACTAAAGCCAATGCTTTTCATTTTGTTGTCCTCAAATGTAGTCATTATGTGTAGCTTGTTGTTTATATAAAACTTATATTTTTCTTTTTTTTCTTTCCCTTTACTTTGCCTTCTCTTAACATCTACATGGCATGCTGATGGCAAGAGCAGCAGTCGTTGGCAGTTTTCCTCAACTCAACAAGAGAGAGAGAGAGATTTGGTTGGAATGAAACCTTGCTCTTCGTACAGTCTGATTGAGATGCAGCTTTGAAAGGTATCATCCCATTTTCTGTCTTGAAACCAAAGATGAAAACTACTAACAGGTAGAAATTTCAATGCCAAATCACCTGTTAATTCACTGCAGAAAAGCCCTTTGGCAGTTCGATTTTCACTGTATCCACTTGGAACATTTGTGTGGCAAATAACCACAGTATCTGTCTGTACCTGTGTTTTCGGTAAAGAAGCTAAGTTGATTGGGAGTGTTTGGACTGAAATTTAGGTTGTTAGACAGATAAAGACTTTTATTATCTTGGTCTTGCTTTTTGACTGGAGTAGCATTCATCACTCATATAATTGAGAATAATACTGAAAGTATCAATCCTGAAGTAATATGCTCTACATGGTAAAGTGAAAAGAGATTCATTTAAAGTTCTGTGTATGGAGAGTCCAGACCTGCTTCATATCCTGGTGGACAGAAGTGAGGTATATGGTGAAACTGAAAATGAAAGCTATGAAATACTCTGTCAGTAGTAGTAATACTTACCTTTTAGGAGCACTACAAGTCAGAAAATCATTTCAAACTGAGTTAAAATGTTATCCTTGGAGTGCTATACAAATGCTCCTTCTGAACCATGCTTTGCAAAAACAGCCACTGTTTGTTAATATGGCATTAAAATTTTGGACTCCACCCACAGAAATTAATAACATTTTTGAAATAAAAGTGATGTAGGATACTGACACATTTATGTCCATATGTTCTTGGACGTGTGTCCTCCAGTGCATGATAAAACTAGAAATACCAGATATTCTTATTTTTCTTATTTCCTGTAAAGCCATACTGAGAAAGGGGGAGAATGTAAACGATGGCAGATTGACAGGCTTTGGCCCAAGGATAATTGTACAGCAGTACCATATTTTATATTTTTTTGCATCCTCTTATCTATTCTGTTCTACTGGTAGTACCAGTTGACTTCCATGAATAAATGTAATTTAGAGCAGACTTGGGCCATGCTATTTATATCTGTGCAGACTGCTCCATGCTTGTGCAACAGTTATTTCTCAAGTATCTGCAGCGTTGTCCAGTGTCATGCAGTGCTTTCCTATGTATTTATGACATGAAAAGTGTTTTGAAACAACATGACAACAGTAAAAGCTGCATAGTAACAGAGTTACCCTTGGCTGTCCATATAATATGCAATTAATGTGGTTACTGTGCTCTGAAGCCCTTCCAAAGCTGAATAAGATATTCTGAAAACTGGTTAAATACATTTTTTTTCCCAATTTTCTTAAAGATTTCCATTTCAGACGCTACAATGATAAGAGCATACTGTAATACATGTCTTCAGCAGCAATAATAATGAAGGATGTGAAGTATATCCCCAACATCTAAAGGTGTGAATTCTAATCGACAGTGAACTCTGTGAGAATTCCATGTAGTAAAACCTAATTCCGTGCTGAAGGGGAACACTGTGAACATCCAGCATAAAATAAAAGATGTTCTGTTCTCTGCTGCGCTATCTTGAGCCAAACTCGGGATCTAAAAGTGAAGCAGGGTTCTTTCATCACCAGTCATAAAGATGCTGTAAGTCAGATTGTTCCCCTAGGCTATATTTGACAACGTAGTAAATTGAGCTTTAGGAACTATCTACAAGATCGAGAACTCTGCCACCTCAAAGCATAAAGCATAGATCCACTGTAAATTCATTCTTTCTCATGCAGTTTTTGAAAATGTTTTGATGCTTTGACTTCATGCTTGCAAACTGCATACTTTATTTGGTATCTTGTGTCCCTCACTGCTATCGTTAAAGTATGGAAGGGGTGGCAGAAATGTGATCTCATGCCCTCACATGATCACATGAAATCTGCACTTTGGAGATATCCACTAGTGCATGGTATGTTAATGTCAATTATGATCAAGCACCATCAGCTGTTTGTTACTCCCCTGCATTTTGTCATCTTCCTATTGAGTCCTTATAACTCCAGTCTTCCCAGAATGTTGCACAGGCAGCTGTAAGAGCAAAATCTGATCTGTGTTCAGAATGGGATCAGAAAATATGCTAGATTTTGTGTATGTATCAACACCTCCAATTCAGTGAGCTGTGTTGAGAAGAGTGAAAAAAGCTAAGTCTTGTTTCTTTTTCTAAATGAAGTGGTACTGGAAAAGTACAAGGACAAATTCTTTTTTATATAAACTCTAGAGAAACTGATGGACAGACAAAGCTTCATAGTTTTGATGTTAGGATGAGTTTGAGCAGAATTAAAATTTATCTAAAATTCTTATTGTTTTTCTCTGCCCTTTGCTTTTCTGTGTTGTGTGATGAATGCATCATGCCCAGATTTTGCAATTGCAGCTTTGTGCTTAAAAGCCACATTGACACAATGAATCCTTACAAAATCATGTTTCTGAGCTCTTGCAGGGAGTTTGTAGTTTGGAAAGACAGAGCTGCATGCAAAGCTTTTCACTTCAGAAATGTTGTGTACTTGGACTTGTACAATTTCCTTCCTTCTTGGTAGGCAAAGATGATTCTGAGTCTGATGATTTTGGTCTCTGGGAAAGAAAAAGAGGCAGAGGAGGGAAGAACTTTCCGATGATATTGTTGATACAGCTATCCTTAAAACCTATTATTTGGAATTTGGAGAAGTTTTTGATTTGTTTTCCTTCTCTCTCTGACCTAATTAATGTCATAGGACCTCCCCATGGACATAATTTATATGACAAATGAATTACATTAAAATTTGCTGTCATGATAGGAAACCTCTTGTTTATGGTAAATTTAATATGTTTTTGTTGACTTCTCTCTATAAATATTGAGCTACCAGCTATAGTTTGTTTTCTTTATTTCTTAAATAATTTTGAATATATAGCAACTTATTGTCAGTATTAAAAATATTTGAAAATATAAATAATTAGGAGAAACATTGTAATTCAGCTGTTTAGAACAAAATTTTAGAACAAAGCTTCTAAAGTGGCACTAGCCTTTCCTTTTTAAAAAGCATAGATTATTGTAGAAAAGAGTCAAATAATAACTGGTTTTCAAGTGTACTCACCAATTCCAGGTTATTCTAGAGTAAAAGCATTGACTACCAGTCAGTGCAGTGTGTTGTAGGAAGGAAAAGTATATACCATTTTCCATACCATTTCAGGATTGTCTCCTCTGCAGCACTGGTATCAACCTTTTGAAGCCTGTGGATCTTTTGCTTGGCTGCTCGTTCCACCCCATTTTCGTGTCTACTCAGTCTACTGACTTCACTAAGATAATACACACATTAAAACATCTACCTTTTTTTTCCAAGGCTGTACTCACTTTTCTGAAGGGCTAAAGAGACGTGAGAGTGTGCAGATCCTTGTGAAAACAGCCAGCAATGTAATGACCAGAGCAGAAGGTCGTTTGCTGTAATTGAGGGCCAAATACAAGTTTGGAATTTATATGGATTTTAAAAAATCTTCAGTTACCCTGCAGCGAGGTACTTATTCTTAGGTAGGAAAATGACAGTAAGTTTCCTTTTCTATAGAGAATAAAATGCAGAAAATAATTTAAATGGGGATAAAATTATGCACAGTAAATCTTTAATAATTTATGTTTTGATTATATAGAATAATCCAAGGAAAGGAATTCCTTTGGTAAAAATGCTAAAGACAGAAAAATATCCTAACGTTAATTCAGAAAAATATTCAAACCAGTGCTTAAGGTTAAGGCTGTGCACCAGCAGTGCATGGATGAGGCACGTCTGTGCCCTGTCACGGGGTTTTTGTCCAAATGTGGCAGGGCTGCAGTGGCCAGGCAGCATCCAGAGCAGGATTCGAGGAATATCCTCTGTTAACTGCAAGGAGTGGCAGAGCTGGTAAATTTGCCTCAGGGGATGATAGCAGGGAAAGGCTATTGAGCCTAGAATGTATTTTGAAACACTGGATGCACTTTTTTTTTTTTTTCAGTTTTCTATTTCCATCCCACATTCCCTGCTTTTATAAAGGACTCCTAAGTAATTTCCAAATTAAATTACCTCTCTAGCAGTTTTGTAACCCTCATAAATATGATAAAGACAGACTCTCTGTCTCACTTTTTCTTGTGACTCTTAACCATCCTATGGCATGCTAAAAATCTTCCTTCAGCATCAAGGCAGCATATTTCTTTGGTTAAAGTTCAGAGGCAAATATAAAATAGTTATTTATGTTAGGTCTGCTCTAATTCTGACATTTTTTGTGGTGATAATTTATTTTCCTTTCTTCAGACGAGAACATGGTGTTGTCCCGCAGTCCTCAGTTTTAATATGAAAATGGATCAAGTTCAGGTTCTGACACACTTGGCAGAGCACCATCGTTTCTCTACCCCTCCCTCAATCTGGGCCATAATTGTGGATATCCTGTGGATGGCAGCCCAGAGACTGCCAGTACTGGGAGCATACGGAAAGGAAGAGATGATGGCAATAGCTGTGTCGCTTGACCTGACATTTGCCTCATTTCTCGGCCACAGAGCATGATGAAGGGAGCAGAGAGTCTAGTGTGAACTGCATGCAAGAGGTCATGGTTTTTAGGAGCAGTCCCCCCCACCTAACTCAGATATTGTTACTAGGTGCTGTCTGTGTACATATAAATAAGGGCTATTTTGCATAAAGAGAAAGAATGCAAAAATAGGTAAAATTGTACTCTAGGTAATTCCGGTGCTTACAATTAAGTTGCACTGGAGATAGATGTTAACCCCATAAAATCCCTGGGTCACAGACCACCTTACAATAGACCCCGACAGCTTTGTGGAGACAGATTATGTCAAGCCCTCAAATTTGGAAGTGTAGCAATTCCTCTGTAGTAAGATTGCAAATGAACACCCATTCGGAGATTGCCAACATTATCACAGTTTGTCAGGGTGATCTCACAGCCCACAAAGCGCCGTAAGAGATTGCTTTACAAGTTCTGAAAGATTAGAGTGTTGAAGTATGTGACACCAGAATGATGCTTTGATGCCTGGCTTTGTCAGTCAGCCAGACAAATAAATAATATCCGCTGTTTTTATTAGTGTAAAGCATAACAGGTAATGGAAAAGTATAGAGAAACATTTC